GTGTGTGTGTGTGTGTGTGTGTGTGTGTGTGTGTGTGTGTGTGTGTGTGTGTGTGTGTGTGTGTGTGTGTGTGTGTGTGTGGTTTCCATTGTTCCATGCACCATCAGAAAAGGGACGTGATTGTGCTGAAATCAGCTGTTTCTGCTTAAATTAGTGCATCTCAGCAGACCACTCCCAGTGACGGCAGACATTAATGATGGTTCAGATGTGTTTAGAGCAAAGGTCACGGACAGTGAATACAGGAGGAACTTTATTTATACGTGTTGTCGCGTATTGTTATGTGTGTGTGGGACGATGCAGGACATGTTACTGCGGTGATAAGCAGTAGATACTATTTAATGTCCATGTTACCCTTAAAAACTAAACATTTCTATTGAAACTATACGATTAAAAGGTTTAGTGGGTTAGTGTTTGCACAAACTATGCAAGTATAGGACTTCGATGGATTTTCCTGACGTCCGCAAACACGTCTGTATGTTTTTGCAATAGAGTAAAAGTCAATTGATTTCAAGACTTTGTTGATTGATTGCCATCTGATCACCTTCTCATGCTTTCTGAACACTTGATCAGAGGTGGTAGAAGTACTCAGATCTTGTACTTCAGTAAAAGTAGAAGTACTCAGGTCTTGTACTTCAGTAAAGTAGAAGTACTCAGATATTGTACTTCAGTAAAAGTAGAAGTACTCAGATCTTGTACTTCAGTAAAGTAGAAGTACTCAGATCTTGTACTTGAGTAAAAGTAGAAGTACTCAGATCTTGTACTTGAGTAAAAGTAGAAGTACTCAGATCTTGTACTTCAGTAAAGTAGAAGTACTCAGATCTTGTACTTCAGTAAAGTAGAAGTACTCAGATATTGTACTTGAGTAAAAGTAGAAGTACTCAGATCTTGTACTTGAGTAAAAGTAGAAGTACTCAGATATTGTACTTGAGTAAAAGTAGAAGTACTCAGATCTTGTACTTGAGTAAAAGTAGAAGTACTCAGATATTGTACTTGAGTAAAAGTAGAAGTACTCAGATATTGTACTTGAGTAAAAGTAGAAGTACTCAGATCTTGTACTTGAGTAAAAGTAGAAGTACTCAGATCTTGTACTTGAGTAAAAGTAGAAGTACTCAGATCTTGTACTTCAGAAAAGTAGAAGTACTCAGATCTTGTACTTGAGTAAAAGTAGAAGTACTACAGTCTTGTACTTGAGTAAAAGTAGAAGTACTCAGATCTTGTACTTCAGAAAAGTAGAAGTACTTCAGATCTTGTACTTGAGTAAAAAGTAGAAGTACCTCAGATCTTGTACTTAGTAAAAGTAGAAGTACTCAGATTTGTACTTCAGTAAAGTAGACGTTACTCAGACTATTGTACTTGAGTAAAAGTAGAAGTACTCAGATCTTGTACTTGAGTAAAGTAGAAGTACTCAGATCTTGTACTTGAGTAAAAGTAGAAGTACTCAGATCTTGTACTTCAGAAAAGTAGAAGTACTCAGATCTTGTACTTGAGTAAAAGTAAAGTACTCAGATCTTGTAACTTGAGTAAAAGTAGAGTACTCAGATCTTGTACTTGAGTAAAAGTAGAAGTACTCAGATATTGTACTTCAGAAAGTAGAAGTACTCAGATATTGTACTTGAGTAAAAGTAGAAGTACTCAGATTTGTACTATAGAGCTAAATAGGAGTAAAGTACTCAGATCTTGTACTTCAGAGGAAACAAGTAGAAGTACTCAGATCTTGTACTTGAGTAAAAAGTAGAAGTACTCAGATCTTGTACTTCAGTAAAGTAGAAGTACTCAGATATTGTACTTCAGTAAAGTAGAAGTACTCAGATATTGTTACTTGAGTAAAAAGTAGAAGTACTCAGATCTTGTACTTGAGTAAAAGTAGAAGTACTCAGATCTTGTACTTGAGTAAAAGTAGAAGTACTCAGATCTTGTACTTGAGTAAAAGTAGAAGTACTCAGGTCTTGTACTTGAGTAAAAGTAGAAGTACTCAGATCTTGTACTTGAGTAAAAGTAGAAGTACTCACATCTTGTACTTGAGTAAAAGTAGAAGTACTCAGATCTTGTACTTGAGTAAAAGTAGAAGTACTCAGATATTGTACTTGAGTAAAAGTAGAAGTACTCAGATATTGTACTTGAGTAAAAGTAGAAGTACTCAGATCTTGTACTTGAGTAAAAGTAGAAGTACTCAGATCTTGTACTTGATTAAAAGTAGAAGTACTCAGATCTTGTACTTGAGTACAAGTAGAAGTACTCAGATATTGTACTTGAGTAAAAGTAGAAGTACTCAGATCTTGTACTTGAGTAAAAGTAGAAGTACTCAGATCTTGTACTTGAGTAAAAGTAGAAGTACTCAGATATTGTACTTGAGTAAAAGTAGAAGTACTCAGATCTTGTACTTGAGTAAAAGTAGAAGTACTCAGATCTTGTATTTGAGTAAAAGTAGAAGTACTCTGATCTTGTACTTGAGTAAAAGTAGAAGTACTCAGATCTTGTATTTGAGTAAAAGTAGAAGTACTCAGATCTTGTGCTTGAGTAAAACTAGAAGTACTCAGATCTTGTACTTGAGTAAAAGTAGAAGTACTAGAGTGTAGGAATACTCTGTTACAGTAAAAGTACTGCATTCAAAATGTTCCTCAAGTAAAAGTATAAAAGTATTCTCATCAAAATATAGTGAAAAGTAGCGACAGTAAAAGTAGTCATTGTGCAGATTGGTCCATTTCAGAATAATATATATGATATGTTTTATAATGATTGATCATGAAAGTGTTCTCAAAGCTGGTAAAGGTGCAGCTAGTTTGAATGACTTTGTATACTGCAGGGTAGCTTGTGGATTTACTCCAGGTGGAACTAAAGTCTGATTTAACACTTGGTTATATTTCACATCATTCATCCACATCTGTGAAGTTACTAAAGGTATTAGATACATGTAGTGGAGTAAAAGTACACCATGTACCTCTGAACTGTAGTGGAGTAAAAGTACACAGTAGCATAAAATGGAAATACTCAAGCATGTACCTTAAAATTGTATTTAAGTACAGTACTTGAGTAAATGTACTTAGTTACTTCACACCTCTGCAGTTCATCCATACATTTATTTACCTTTCACTTTTTAACAGAGATTTTCTTGACACATTTGAATACAGAATATTTGTACGTTCAAAGACGATCAGAAACAATTAGACGATTGATTTAATTGTTGTAAAATAAAAAGAATGATACTTAATAATATATTCCTGTTTATAAAATGTTAGTATTTGGTGTTATTTGTGTTTGTAAAACTGAATTGCTTTTTAATTAAAAAGGCAAAACGACCAATTCAAAATAATCATAATAATGAGTAGCTTTAGTTTATCGTGATAAGATATAAAACCCAGCCTCAGGTTCCTGGGTTTTATTTCTGTGACGCTCTTGATATTATTTAATAGTTTCTCATCCAGAGCAGCAGGGGGCGCCAGCAGACAGGATTCTGAACCTAGCTTTCTCAGTTCTGCAAGAGAACTTTGTTTCTCTATTTCTTTACATTTTAATAATGCAGCTTCATTTAGCAAGTTATTAGTTTGAGAATTGTTTGTAGTTACTACAAATGTAGAAAGGACTTGAAGCCGCCTTATCCTGCTGATGTTCAGGTGTATCTCTACTTTAAAGAGTCCTCTCCTGCTGATGTTCAGGTGTATATCAGTGTGTAGTGTCTCTACTTTAAAGAGTCCTCTCCTGCTGATGTTCAGGTGTATATCAATATGTAGTTTCTCTACTTTAAAGAGTCCTCTCCTGCTGATGTTCAGGTGTATATCAGTATGTAGTGTCTCTACTTTAAAGAGTCCTCTCCTGCTGATGTTCAGGTGTATATCAGTATGTAGTTTCTCTACTTTAAAGAGTCCTCTCCTGCTGATGTTCAGGTGTATATCAGTATGTAGTGTCTCTACTTTAAAGAGTCCTCTCCTGCTGATGTTCAGGTGTATATCAGTATGTAGTGTCTCTACTTTAAAGAGTCCTCTCCTGCTGATGTTCAGGTGTATATCAGTATGTAGTGCTCTACTTTAAAGAGTCCTCTCCTGCTGATGTTCAGGTGTATATCAGTATGTAGTGTCTCTACTTTAAAGAGTCCTCTCCTGCTGATGTTCAGGTGTATATCAGTATGTAGTGTTTTTACTTTAAAGAGTCCTCTCCTGCTGATGTTCAGGTGTATATCAGTATGTAGGTCTCTACTTTAAAGAGTCCTCTCCTGCTGATGTTTCAGGTTCAATATTCTTAAAGAGTCCTCTCCTATGTAGTGTCTCTACTTTAAAGAGTCCTCTCCTGCTGATGTTCAGGTGTATATCAGTATGTAGTGTCTCTACTTTAAAGAGTCCTCTCCTGCTGGATGTTCAGGTGTATATCAGTATGTAGTGTCTCTACTTTAAGAGTCCTCTCCTCGCTGATGTTCAGGTGTATATCAGTATGTAGTGTCTCTACTTTAAAGAGTCCTCTCCTGCTGATGTTCAGGTGTATATCAGTATGTAGTGTCTCTACTTTAAAGAGTCCTCTCCTGCTGATGTTCAGTGTATATCAGTATGTAGTGTCTCTACTTTAAAGAGTCCTCTCCTGCTGATGTTCAGGTGTATATCAGTATGTAGTGTCTCTACTTTAAAGAGTCCTCTCCTGCTGATGTTCAGGTGTATATCAGTATGTAGTGTCTCTACTTTAAAGAGTCCTCTCCTGCTGCTGTTCAGGTGTATATCAGTATGTAGTGTCTCTACTTTAAAGAGTCCTCTCCTGCTGATGTTCAGGTGTATATCAGTATGTCGTGTCTCTACTGCAGCACCTCTTTTCACCCTCTGTCTGAAACCAGAGCCCAGTCTGCTCTGATTGGTTAGCTGGCCGGCTTTGTTGTGATTGGTCAACCGCTTAGAGTAAGTAAATATGTCTCGTGTCCTCTGTGTTGAAGTGGGAGGAGTCTGTGTGGATAAGCCCCGCCCCCTCCAGGAGCTAGAGTATAAAGGCAGCCCGCTCTCTGTTTCTCAGTCTCAGGGCTGCTCTCTCACATCAACATTTCAATATCTTTAAATGCTTCTGACAGCTTCAGATGTCGTCTCCAGAGAGGCTGCGGGAAGACTTCTCAAGCAGCAGCCTGGAAAACACCACGGCCGCTCAGGACTGGACCCAGGTGAGCCATCAGGATTAATGCTGATGTTTACTGAACAGTATTTAAACTCATAGGAAGAGCTAGAACACATTTCTGAGTCAGGAGTATTTATTATTGAACTTTAAAGTCTGTGGTGGAAGAAATAGAAATGAGATATTTAGCTTTTTTGCTAAATTATCAGCATTCATATATATTTTGAAGGATAGTGTAAGTATTACTTCGGTACCACTTTTTCAAATAATTGAATATAAATAGAAATATGTAAAATAAATATCCAAAAGCTCCCTTTAAAAAATATGTTAAAACATTAAAACATTTAAAATATATAACAAATCTGTGAAGAAATGAAGTGAAAGATATCAAAGAATATCCAAAAGGAACCTGAAAAATGTGCGAAGAAATAAATCAATCTAAAAAATCTTCATCAAATCTGTGAAAGTCAAAATAATGCCGAACTAAAATCTACTAAACATGTGAGAAATATCTGAAAAATGGTATAATAGCAGTTTCTGAAATGTAATAAAGCTTATTTTACAAAATGTAAAACTATTTACCCAGTTAATCTTATTGTTTGAATTTAAATGTAATAATGTAATGTAGTGAGTGGGAAAGTAAATACAACATGTACTTGAAACACCTCAAAGCGGAAGTGCTCATACAGAATATTGTATTTATTTAATTGTGTTTTTGGAAATGGATCATTGTTAACTTTCACATCACTTCTATAAAAAACAACCTTGATGGTAAACCTGCTGCAGAGGAACTGATAAAAGAGTGTTTTCCTTGTAGTAAAAAGACGTAATTGAACTAAACTTCCTCATATTTGACTTTCTGCTTTGTTCTCTGGCTGCATGTTGACGTGTGTTTCTGTGTGCAGGCGTACGAGGCGGTGCGCTGGATCCAGCTCACCGTGGCTCTGCTCAGGTGGGAACTTCATTCTCCTCGTGTCTTCCATTTCAATTCCATGTGAAGTTCAATTAATCAATTAGGAGATATAAGGAGGACACAGCTGGGAGACCAGGGGACACTAAAGAGTGACGCACACAGCTGGGAGACCAGGGGACACTAAAGAGTGACGCACACAGCTGGGAGACCAGGGGACACTAAAGAGTGACGCACACAGCTGGAGACCAGGGGACACTAAAGAGTGACGCACACAGCTGGGAGACCAGGGGACACTAAAGAGTGACGCACACAGCTGGGAAGACCAGGGGGACACTAAAGAGTGACGCACACAGCTGGGAGACCAGGGGACACTAAAGAGTGACGCACACAGCTGGGAGACCAGGGGACACTAAAGAGTGACGCACACAGCTGGGAGACCAGGGGACACTAAAGAGTGACGCACACAGCTGGGAGACCAGGGGACACTAAAGAGTGACGCGCACACCTGGGATGGGGCGCTTGGTGACGTTCAGGATCATAAAGCTGAACAACTGTCTCTGTTGTTGTAAACTTACCTGAAATGTTTTATGTTCTAATTTTAACAATGTGGTCACATGACTCCTTCTGATGTTACTGCAGATCTGCTGTAAGCTAGCTAGCTAACGTAGCTAACCTAGTCATTTCAGATATACTGACACACTTACAGTTATGAGACGACTAACAACAGAGACAGAGACAGTTGTTCAGCTTCATCATCAAGATGACTGTGTGTTTATACCTGCAGTGTTCTGGGCTCAGGATCCATCATCGTCTCTGTGATGCTGGAGAGACTCAGCCGCCGGACCGAGGTCAGAATCACATTCACTCTTATTTCTAACAAGGAGGTGCTGCAGCATTAAAGCATAGAGACACTACATACTGATATACACCTGAACATCAGCAGGAGAGGACTCTTTAAAGTAGAGACACTACATACTGATATACACCTGAACATCAGCAGGAGAGGACTCTTTAAAGTAGAGACACTATATACTGATATACACCTGAACATCATCAGGAGAGGACTCTTTAAAGTAGAGACACTGCATACTGATATACACCTGAACATCAGCAGGAGAGGACTCTTTAAAGTAGAGACACTACATACTGATATACACCTGAACATCAGCAGGAGAGGACTCTTTAAAGTAGAGACACTACATACTGATATACACCTGAACATCAGCAGGAGAGGACTCTTTAAAGTAGAGACACTACTATACTGATATACACCTGAACATCAGCAGGAGAGGACTCTTTAAAGTAGAGACACTAGCATACTGATATACACCTGAACATCAGCAGGAGAGGACTCTTTAAAGTAGAGACACTACATACTGATATACACCTGAACATCAGCAGGAGAGGACTCTTTAAAGTAGAGACACTACATACTGATATACACCTGAACATCAGCAGGAGAGAACTCTTTAAAGTAGAGACACTACATACTGATATACACCTGAACATCAGCAGGAGAGGACTCTTTAAAGTAGAGATACTACATACTGATATACACCTGAACATCAGCAGGAGAGGACTCTTTAAAGTAGAGACACTACATACTGATATACACCTGAACATCAGCAGGAGAGGACTCTTTAAAGTAGAGACACTACATACTGATATACACCTGAACATCAGCAGGAGAGGACTCTTTAAAGTAGAGACACTACATACTGATATACACCTGAACATCAGCAGCAGAGGACTCTTTAAAGTAGAGACACTACATACTGATATACACCTGAACATCAGCAGGAGAGGACTCTTTAAAGTAGAGACACTACACACTGATATACACCTGAACATCAGCAGGAGAGGACTCTTTAAAGTAGAGACACTACATACTGATATACACCTGAACATCAGCAGGAGAGGACTCTTTAAAGTAGAGACACTACATACTGATATACACCTGAACATCAGCAGGAGAGGACTCTTTAAAGTAGAGACACTACATACTGATATACACCTGAACATCAGCAGGAGAGGACTCTTTAAAGTAGAGACACTACATACTGATATACACCTGAACATCAGCAGGAGAGGACTCTTTAAAGTAGAGACACTACATACTGATATACACCTGAACATCAGCAGGAGAGGACTCTTTAAAGTAGAGACACTACATACTGATATACACCTGAACATCAGCAGCAGAGGACTCTTTAAAGTAGAGACACTACATACTGATATACACCTGAACATCAGCAGGAGAGGACTCTTTAAAGTAGAGACACTACACACTGATATACACCTGAACATCAGCAGAAGAGGACTCTTTAAAGTAGAGACACTACATACTGATATACACCTGAACATCAGCAGGAGAGGACTCTTTAAAGTAGAGACACTACATACTGATATACACCTGAACATCAGCAGGAGAGGACTCTTTAAAGTAGAGACACTACATACTGATATACACCTGAACATCAGCAGGAGAGGACTCTTTAAAGTAGAGATACTACATACTGATATACACCTGAACATCAGCAGGAGAGGACTCTTTAAAGTAGAGACACTACATACTGATATACACCTGAACATCAGCAGCAGAGGACTCTTTAAAGTAGAGACACTACATACTGATATACACCTGAACATCAGCAGGAGAGGACTCTTTAAAGTAGAGACACTAAATACTGATATACACCTGAACATCAGCAGGAGAGGACTCTTTAAAGTAGAGACACTTTACGTATATTTTGCTGCTAATACTTGTGTACTTGTACTTTAATACTTCTCAGCTGCAGCCTCTCCTCCTGCTCAGTGTCTCCGACCTGCTGCTCGCTCTCTGCTGGATCATCGGTGCGTCGCTCTACTCCAGAAACTACAGCGCACACACACTCTGCTACCACCTGCACACTGTGGCGCAGGTACTACACACACACACACACACACACACACACACACACACACACACACACACACACACACACACACACACACACACACACACACACAGTCTCGTTTCAGTCTCAAACAGTGAAATATCTGAATTTATTCCAGATATTGTGGGGTTTCCTTTTTTCTCTCAACCTTTATACGTTTCCTCAAAAAACAACTGAAATAAGGAACACTAAGCGGCACGGGCTGTGCATCCACTACAGAAACACATCACATGGGGAAAATCTCAACTTCCTCCTTCAACTGATGTAGAAAAACAACTAAAAATCCAACAAAACTTTCTGCTTCATCAGCAAAACCTGCAGTTCTCACATTTCATCCTGAAAGTTGATTCAACACCCTCAAACATCTCAAAAACCACTCCGAACGTGTCCAAATCCATGTCCATGTTCTAGCTGCTTTCCGCATATTAGTCTGTCTTCAGTTCACAGAGTCCTGTTGTGAACCCTGAGATGTTGAGGACCCCAAAAGTGTTATGATATACATGTAAAGTAGGGTCTCCAGCTCATAGAAACTGCCGGATGCTAACCTGCAGACGCTGGGACATTTGAACGATTAGTATAAGTTGCATTAATTAGCGTTAATGGAGACAATAGTTGAAAAATGGCTGATTTGGAACATTTTGTAGTAGTTTTTGGAGGTTATTGAATCCATTTCTGACATTTTCAAGATCAGATATTGGCAGTTTTTTTTTGTCAGAAAGAGGCCAAGCTTTAGGGGACTCTGGATCATTTGACTTTTCCTACATGTGGTGTTTTGGTGTTGTTGTTTTTGTGTTGTTTTGTTTCTTGTTTCCGTTAACTGTCAAGTGGGAAATAAGTATGTTTTCTGTTTCTCTGATTATCCTGAGATGCTGTTGTGTTTGGCTGAGAAAAGAAATATGAAGGACAGACCGTCTATTTCGATGTATTTATTTTTAGAAAGGGGCCGGTCATATAAGATTATTTTCTTCTCCCTGCTCCTTTTCGGTCAATGGTGTGTTTACAGAGACATGTTTTGTTAACAATTGTTATACATTAAGTTTTGTATACCATGAACGGAACAAATACAAATGAAGAGGAAAATTAAATTTGGATTGGACAGATTGCTTATTTATTTGAAGATAAAGTGTCCACAGTAGAGGTAATAATGTTCATTTTGGTCTCTCTATATCCAATGGTCACAACTCCACTCATGGTAGTCAGAATCAGTCCACTGAGAGAACAGATATGATCTCTTTCTGGTTAAAACTGTCATGTTTGATCCTGGAAATGTCAGAAATGGATTCAGCATCCTGAATAACCCCGACAAACACTCAAAACGGTCATTTACAGAGGCTATAATGCCGTTATTTTCATTAACACAACTTGTACTAATTGTGTAAATGTCCCAACATCTGCAGGTTAGCATCCGGCAGTTTCTATGAGCTGGAGACCCTACTGTACATTTATAATTCTCACTAAAACAGTTATTAGAGAGTAAGTGTCCAGAGTCTGTTGAACGGAGACAGGAAGGGGAGAGCAGCATTCCTGACCTACATGTGTTGTTCTGCGGGTGCTTCATCTCTGTGTGTGTGTGTGTGTGTGTGTGTGTGTGTGTGTGTGTGTGTGTGTGTGTGTGTGTGTGTGTGTGTGTGTGTGTGTGTGTGTGTGTGTGTTGTGTGTGTGTGTGTGTGTGTGTGTGTGTGTGTGTGTGTGTGTGTGTGTGTGTTGTGTGTGTGTGTGTGTGTGTGTGTGTGTGTGTGTGTGTGTGTGTGTGTGTGTGTGTGTGTGTGTGTGTGTGTGTGTGTGTGTGTGTGTGTGTGTGTGTGTGTGTACCTGCGCCGTGCTTTGACCCACCAACTTCACCCTGTTGTTGTTCTGGCAGGTTCTGTACATGGCGTCCTTCTTCTACACGCTCAACTACGTGTTCAACCTGTACCGAGGGATCAGAGAGCAGCACGACAGCTGCAGGGACGGATACGTGCAGGTAGGGCGGCACAACATTCAGGATTCAAAGGTTTTATTCTCAGATGCTCATGAGCTACACTTTAGAAATGGCAATGAAATTCTTCTGACCTGAGCTCCTCCAACAAGGCAACATATATAATAAAATACAAAATAAGAAATAGTCTATATACATGTCAATAGAATATGATATGTACAAGAACAGAATAGGAAATTAAATTAAATACGGTTTATTGCGATGATAACTATTTATATAAATAAGTAGATTGCAAGATGACAAACAGATGAATGTTTATCGGGGCACTTTACAGAGCTCAGGTGTTTAATAGTCTGTGGGATAGCAAGTACACTCTGCACAGAGCACCTCCTACACACTGCATTGTATCACCAGGGTTACCCTCACTTCCTGTCCAGCGGAAGCCACACATCTCCAGGTTATTTTTTTATATTTGTGAGATTTCTTTACGTGTTGAGAAATGCTTAAGCTAAATTCGACATCCAAAAAATGTATTATGAGGGAAACATTTGAAAATAATTGCGAGAAATATACGAAACATATAAATAAAAAATGTAAAATAAATATCTGAAAGCAGACGGAAACATTTGTGAGTTAAATCAAAATATATATATAAAAAATCTGTGAAAAATATCCCAAAATATGTAGCCTGAAAAAAGAACTGAAATGAATGTGAGAAATATCCGAATGTCCCATAAAATGTATGGAAAATATTAGAAAATAATGTTTACACACGCTTCTGAAATCCAAGAAAGCATGTTACCAATCATTTACAAATATTCCTTTAATGCAAAGACACTCTGCCCAGTTCTAATATTCTTCTGTGAATTTAAAAGTATTTTCTATTAATAATTTTCCCGTCTTTTTGTGCAGTTTTCCAACAGAGTGAGCACTGCTGGTAAGATCACTGCGGTGCTGTCAGGGTGAGTACAGCTGAGGTGTGATGCCTATAACCCTGACCCTTTCATAAAGATGAATGTGCGTTAATAGGTGACTGTGATCTAAATGTCTCTCAGGCTGTCTCCTGTGCTGCTGATGACGCCTGTGTTCATACAAAGGATCCCTCAGCCAATGTGAAACCAACTTCACCGAGCCCTACAGGTCAGAGACGATTATTAAGAAAGTGTGTGAAGTTTGCTTTCTTTAAAAATGTTCAGTGTGTTTGATTTGACCAGAGAGGGCACAATGTACACACATCCTTTACTCAAGTAGAAGTACAGATACTCGTGTTTAAAATACTCTGGTAAAAAGTAGAAGTGCTGACTAAACTTCTTAACTCAAAGTAAAAGTAAGAAGGTAGTGGCTTTGAATGGTAGTTGTGTTCAACATGTAAGAAGTAGAAAGTACAGGTATTTGTGTGTCAACATGTAAGAAGTAGAAAAGTCAGGTATTTGTGTTCAACAACATGTAAGAAGTAGAAAGTACAGGTATTTGTGTTCAACATGTAGAAGGTAGAAAGTACAGGTATTTGGGTTCAACATGTAAGAAGTAGAAAGTACAGGTATTTGGGTTCAACATGTAAGAAGTAGAAAGTACAGGTATTTGTGTTCAACATGTAAGAAGTAGAAAGTACATGTTATTGGGTTCAACATGTGAGAAAGTAGAAAGTACAGGTATTTGGGTTCAACATGTAAGAAGTAGAAAGTACAGGTGATTTGGGTTCAACATGTAAGAAGTAGAAAGTAACAGGTATGTGTGTTCAACATGTAAGAAGTAGGAAAAGTACAGGTATGTGTGTTCAACATGTAAGAAGTAGAAAGTACAGGTATTTGGGTTCAACATGTAAGAAGTAGAAAGTACAGGTATGTGTGTTCAACATGTAAGAAGTAGAAAGTACAGGTATGTGTGTTCAACATGTAAGAAGTAGAAAGTACAGGTATGTGTGTTCAACATGTAAGAAGTAGAAAGTACAGGTATTTGGGTTCAACATGTAAGAAGTAGAAAGTACAGGTATGTGTGTTCAACATGTAAGAAGTAGAAAGTACAGGTATTTGGGTTCAACATGTAAGAAGTAGAAAGTACAGGTATTTGGGTTCAAAATGTAAGAAGTCAAAGTAAAAAGTAAGTAGTGGAGTAAAGTACTGAGACCAGAAAAAATGTACTTCAGTACAGTAACAAAGTATTTGTACTCCACTACTTCCCACCTCTGGATTTGACCCTCGCTGTGACCCGTACCTGTACAGGTGTCTTCTGATGCACACCGGAGCGCTGTTCGTCACCTCAGAGCAGCAGCCAATCAGAGCCTGCCGTCTGCTGCACACCTACCGCAGCGCGCTCTTCCTCGCCTCCTTCGTCCTCACCCTGCTCAGCATCATAGTGAGTGAACGCACCTGAGGGCTAAGCTTTAAAACACAATTATTTATTTAAAATAGTCAGAGTACTTGATATTATTAAAGGTCACCTATTGTGCAAAATCCACTTCTTCATGTCTCTTCTTCATCAACATGTGTCCCCTCTTCTTCATGTCTCTTCTTCATCAACATGTGTCCCCTCTTCTTCATGTCTCTTCTACATCAACATGTGTCCCCCTCTTCTTCATGTCTCTTCTACATCAACATGTGTCCCCTCTTCTTCATGTCTCTTCTACATCAACATGTGTCCCCTCTTCTTCATGTCTCTTCTTCATCAACATGTGTCCCCTCTTCTTCATGTCTCTTCTACATCAACATGTCTCCCCTCTTCTTCATGTCTCTTCTTCATCAACATGTGTCCCCTCTTCTTCATGTCTCTTCTACATCAACATGTGTCCCCTCTTCTTCATGTCTCTTCTTCATCAACATGTGTCCCCTCTTCTTCATGTCTCTTCTACATCAACATGTGTCCCCTCTTCTTCATGTCTCTTCTTCATCAACATGTGTCCCCTCTTCTTCATGTCTCTTCTACATCAACATGTGTCCCCTCTTCTTCATGTCTCTTCTTCATCACATGTGTCCCCTCTTCTTCATGTCTCTTCTTCATCAACATGTGTCCCCTCTTCTTCATGTCTCTACTTCATCAACATGTGTCCCCTCTTCTTCATGTCTCCTCTACATCAACATGTGTCCCCTCTTCTTCATGTCTCTTCTCATCAACATGTGTCCCCCTCTTCTTCATGTCTCTTCTTCATCAACATGTGTCCCCCTCTTCTTCATGTCTCTTCTTCATCAACATGTGTCCCCTCTTCTTCATGTCTCCTCTACATCAACATGTGTCCCCTCTTCTTCATGTCTCTTCTTCATCAACATGTGTCCCCTCTTCTTCATCAACATGTGTCCCCTCTTCTTCATGTCTCTTCTTCATCAACATGTGTCCCCTCTTCTTCATGTCTCTTCTTCATCAACATGTGTCCCCTCTTCTTCATGTCTCTTCTTCATCAACATGTGTCCCCTCTTCTCCATGTCTCTTCTTCATCAACATGTGTCCCCTCTTCTTCATGTCTCTTCTACATCAACATGTTGTCCCCTCTTCTTCATGTCTCTTCTTCATCAACATGTGTCCCCTCTTCTTCATGTCTCTTCTTCATCAACATGTGTCCCCTCTTCTTCATGTCTCTTCTACATCAACATGTGTCCCCCTCTTCTTCATGTCTCTTCTACATCAACATGTGTTCCCCTCTTCTTCATGTCTCTTCTACATCAACATGTGTCCCCTCTTCTTCATGTCTCTTCTTCATCAACATGTGTCCCCTCTTCTTCATGTCTCTTCTACATCAACATGTGTCCCCTCTTCTTCATGTCTCTCTTCTACATCAACATGTGTCCCCTCTTCTTCATGTCTCTTCTACATCAACATGTCTCCCCTCTTCTTCATGTCTCTTCTTCATCAACATGTGTCCCCTCTTCTTCATGTCTCTTCTACATCAACATGTGTCCCCTCTTCTTCATGTCTCTTCTACATCAACATGTGTCCCCTCTTCTTCATGTCTCTTCTACATCAAACATGTCTCCCCTCTTCTTCATGTCCTCTTCTTCATCAACATGTGTCCCCTCGTCTTCATGTCTCTTTCTACATCAACATGTGTCCCCCTCTTTCTTCATGTCTCTTCTTCATCAACATGTGTCCCCCTCTTCTTCATGTCTCTTCTACATCAACATGTGTCCCCTCTTCTTCATGTCTCTTCTTCATCAACATGTGTCCCCTCTTCTTCATGTCTCTTCTTCATCAACATGTGTCCCCTCTTCTTCATGTCTCTTCTACATCAACATGTGTCCCCTCTTCTTCATGTCTCTTCTACATCAACATGTCTCCCCTCTTCTTCATGTCTCTTCTTCATCAACATGTGTCCCCCTCTTCTTCATGTCTCTTCTACATCAAACATGTGTCCCCTCTTCTTCATGTCCTTCTACATCAACATGTGTCCCCTCTTCTTCATGTCTCTTCTACATCAACATGTGTCCCCTCTTCTTCATGTCTCTTCTTCATCAACATGTGTCCCCTCTTCTTCATCAACATGCGTCCCCTCTTCTTCATGTCTCTTCTTCATCAACATGTGTCCCCTCTTCTTCATGTCTCTTCTTCATCAACATGTGTCCCCTCTTCTTCATGTCTCTTCTACATCAACATGTGTCCCCTCTTCTTCATGTCTCTTCTACATCAACATGTCTCCCCTCTTCTTCATGTCTCTTCTTCATCAACATGTGTCCCCTCTTCTTCATGTCTCTTCTACATCAACATGTGTCCCCTCTTCTTCATGTCTCTTCTACATCAACATGTGTCCCCTCTTCTTCATGTCTCTTCTTCATCAACATGTGTCCCCTCTTCTTCATCAACATGTGTCCCCTCTTCTTCATGTCTCTTCTACATCAACATGTGTCCCCTCTTCTTCATGTCTCTTCTTCATCAACATGTGTCCCCTCTTCTTCATCAACATGTGTCCCCTCTTCTTCATGTCTCTTCTACATCAACATGTGTCCCCTCTTCTTCACGTCTCTTCTACATCAACATGTGTCCCCCTCTTCTTCATGTCTCTTCTTCATCAACATGTGTCCCCTCTTCTTCATGTCTCTTCTTCATCAAACATGTGTCCCCTCTTCTTCATGTCTGTTCTTCATCAACATGTGTCCCCTCTTCTTCATCAACATGTGTCCCCTCTTCTTCATGTCTCTTCTTCATCAACATGTGTCCCCTCTTCTTCATGTCTCTTCTTCATCAACATGTGTCCCCTCTTCTTCATGTCTCTTCTACATCAACATGTGTCCCCTCTTCTTCATGTCTCTTCTTCATCAACATGTGTCCCCTCTTCTTCATGTCTCTTCTACATCAACATGTGTCCCCTCTTCTTCATGTCTCTTCTTCATCAACATGTGTCCCCTCTTCTTCATGTCTCTTCTACATCAACATGTGTCCCCTCTTCTTCATGTCTCTTCTACATCAACATGTGTCCCCTCTTCTTCATGTCTCTTCTTCATCAACATGTGTCCCCTCTTCTTCATGTCTCTTCTACATCAACATGTGTCCCCTCTTCTTCATGTCTCTTCTACATCAACATGTCTCCCCTCTTCTTCATGTCTCTTCTTCATCAACATGTGTCCCCTCTTCTTCATGTCTCTTCTACATCAACATGTGTCCCCTCTTCTTCATGTCTCTTCTACATCAACATGTGTCCCCTCTTCTTCATGTCTCTTCTACATCAACATGTGTCCCCTCTTCTTCATGTCTCTTCTTCATCAACATGTGTCCCCTCTTCTTCATGTCTCTTCTACATCAACATGTGTCCCCTCTTCTTCATGTCTCTTCTACATCAACATGTGTCCCCTCTTCTTCATGTCTCTTCTACATCAACATGTGTCCCCTCTTCTTCATGTCTCTTCTACATCAACATGTGTCCCCTCTTCTTCATGTCTCTTCTTCATCAACATGTGTCCCCTCTTCTTCATGTCTCTTCTACATCAACATGTGTCCCCTCTTCTTCATGTCTCTTCTACATCAACATGTGTCCCCTCTTCTTCATGTCTCTTCTACATCAACATGTGTCCCCTCTTCTTCATGTCTCTTCTTCATCAACATGTGTCCCCTCTTCTTCATGTCTCTTCTACATCAACATGTCTCCCCTCTTCTTCATGTCTCTTCTACATCAACATGTGTCCCCTCTTCTTCATGTCTCTTCTACATCAACATGTGTCCCCTCTTCTTCATGTCTCTTCTACATCAACATGTGTCCCCTCTTCTTCATGTCTCTTCTTCATCAACATGTGTCCCCTCTTCTTCATGTCTCTTCTACATCAACATGTGTCCCCTCTTCTTCATGTCTCTTCTACATCAACATGTGTCCCCTCTTCTTCATGTCTCTTCTACATCAACATGTCTCCCCTCTTCTTCATGTCTCTTCTTCATCAACATGTGTCCCCTCTTCTTCATGTCTCTTCTACATCAACATGTGTCCCCTCTTCTTCATGTCTCTTCTTCATCAACATGTGTCCCCTCTTCTTCATCAACATGTGTCCCCTCTTCTTCATGTCTCTTCTTCATCAACATGTGTCCCCTCTTCTTCATGTCTCTTCTACATCAACATGTGTCCCCTCTTCTTCATGTCTCTTCTTCATCAACATGTGTCCCCTCTTCTTCATGTCTCTTCTACATCAACATGTGTCCCCTCTTCTTCATGTCTCTTCTTCATCAACATGTGTCCCTCTTCTTCATGTCTCTTCTACATCAACATGTGTCCCCTCTTCTTCATGTCTCTTCTTCATCAACATGTGTCCCCTCTTCTTCATGTCTCTTCTTCATCAACATGTGTCCCCTCTTCTTCATGTCTCTTCTTCATCAACATGTGTCCCCTCTTCTTCATGTCTCATCTTCATCAACATGTGTCCCCTCTTCTTCATCAACATGTGTCCCCTCTCTTCATGTCTCTTCTTCATCAACATGTGTCCCCTCTTCTTCATGTCTCTTCTTCATCAACACGTGTCCCCTCTTCTTCATGTCTCTTCTACATCAACATGTGTCCCCTCTTCTTCATGTCTCTTCTTCATCAACATGTGTCCCCTCTTCTTCATGTCTCTTCTACATCAACATGTGTCCCCTCTTCTTCATGTCTCTTCTTCATCAACATGTGTCCCCTCTTCTTCATGTCTCTTCTACATCAACATGTGTCCCTCTTCTTCACGTCTCTTCTACATCAACATGTGTCCCCTCTTCTTCATGTCTCTTCTACATCAACATGTCTCCCCTCTTCTTCATGTCTCTTCTTCATCAACATGTGTCCCCCTCTTCTTCATGTCTCTTCTTCATCAACATGTGTCCCCTCTTCTTCATGTCTCTTCTTCATCAACATGTGTCCCCTCTTCTTCATGTCTCTTCTTCATCAACATGTGTCCCCTCTTCTTCATGTCTCTTCTTCATCAACATGTGTCCCCTCTTCTTCATCAACATGTGTCCCCTCTTCTTCATGTCTCTTCTTCATCAACATGTGTCCCCTCTTCTTCATGTCTTTCTTCATCAACATGTGTCCCCTCTTCTTCATGTCTCTTCTTCATCAACATGTGTCCCCTCTTCTTCATGTCTCTTCTTCATCAACATGTGTCCCCTCTTCTTCATGTTTCTTCTTCATCAACATGTGTCTCCTCTTATTCATCAACACGTGTCCCCTCTTCTTCATGTCTCTTCTTCATCAACATGTGTCCCCTCTTCTTCATGTCTCTTCTTCATTAACATGTGTCCCCTCTTCTTCATGTCTCTTCTTCATCAACATGTGTCCCCTCTTCTTCATGTCTCTTCTTCATCAACATGTGTCCCCTCTTCTTCATGTCTCTTCTTCATCAACATGTGTCCCCTCTTCTTCATCAACATGTGTCCCCTCTTCTTCATGTCTCTTCTTCATCAACATGTGTCCCCTCTTCTTCATGTCTCTTCTTCATCAACATGTGTCCCCTCTTCTTCATGTCTCTTCTTCATCAACATGTGTCCCCTCTTCTTCATGTCTCTTCTTCATCAACATGTGTCCCCTCTTCTTCATGTCTCTTCTTCATCAACATGTGTCCCCTCTTCTTCATGTCTCTTCTTCATCTAACATGTGTCCCCTCTTCTTCATGTCTCTTCTTCATCAACATGTGTCCCCTCTTCTTCATGTCTCTTCTTCATCAACATGTGTCCCCTCTTCTTCATGTCTCTTCTTCATCAACATGTGTCCCCCTCTTCTTCACGTCTCTTCTTCATCAACATGTGTCCCCCTCTTCTTCATGTCTCTTCTTCATCAACATGTGTCCCCTCTTTCTTCATGTCCTCTTCTTTTCATCAACATGTGTCCCCTCTTCTTCATGTCTCTTCTACATCAACATGTGTCCCCTCTTCTTCAATGTCTCTTCTTCATCAACATGTGTCCCCTCTTCTTCATGTCTCTTCTACATCAACATGTGTCCCCTCTTCTTCACGTCTCTTCTTCATCAAACATGTGTCCCCTCTCTTCATGTCTTCTACATCAACATGATGTCCCTCTTTTCATGTCTATCTTCATCAACATGTTGTCCCCTCTTCTTCATGTCTCTTCTTCATCAACATGTGTCCCTCTTCTTCATGTCTCTTCTTCATCAACATGTGTCCCCTCTTCTTCATGTCTCTTCTTCATCAACATGTGTCCCCTCTTCTTCATGTCTCTTCTTCATCAACATGTGTCCCCTCTTCTTCATGTCTCTTCTTCATCAACATGTGTCCCCTCTGTGTAAAGAGACTCTGAAAGTTTCAGGAACAAAGATTCTCTCTCTTTTTGATCCATTTCTATTAAAAACCTGTCTGAAAATGAGCTGATCAGATTTTGGCCACTTTATGATGTCATAACGATGTTTTGTCTTGTGTAACCATTAGCCAATCAGCAACCAAGGTAACCCCCCCCCCCCCCCCCCACCTTATCACCTGAATCTCCTCCTAGAGCACCATTGAGTTCTTTGTAACCAAATCTCTCTCAGAGGGGCGTGGGGAGGGGCTCCTTATTTTCATCTAAAGTAACAGACAGAGAATCAGCACTTTGGAAACAGGGCTGAAACAGAGGGGATTATGGCTAATGCTGCAATGATCTGTTTGGTGTTTCAGCCAATCAGAGACAGGCTCTGTATATATCTGAGACCTGTGATATATTGATGAGAAACAGTATAATAGGGGACCTTTAATACATGTTGTGATTTATAGGACATCAAGTCCTCCCAGTGAAGAAGAAACCAGCAGATATTCTACTAAAAAAGACTAATAAATGTTTCCATGACCAACCATTTTTCTGAGGATGGACTAAGAGAGGTTTAGTCTCCACATGAAATAGCTCTCGTCTCGTTCCTCTCTGCAGGTGCTGGTGCCGAAGTCCCGGCGTCTCTACCGGCGCGTGGTGACCTCTGCAGGTTACCTAGGTAACCAGCAGAGGGCGTGCGTCCACCTGATGGAGCGGCGCATGCTGCTGTTCCCCCTGGTGTTCCTGCTCTGCTGGGGGCCAGGTGAGACCCCCAGGAAGTGCTCTGGACTCTGAGGAGAATATTCCTAGTGGCCAAACGGCGGTACCTCAACCTCCGTATCAGTCCGTGGCGTCACTGGGCCCAAAGATACTTTTCCCAATAGAGCGGTGCAGGGATGACGTATTTTTGTAGGCCGACCCTGAAGTAAGCTGTCAGGGTTCCCTCGACAAAAAAGTAACGGGATCTCTCCATAGGATTTTGGAAAAATAAGGTCTGTGGAAAAGGAACCTGTTTGATAAATGCACGTTTTGTTCAGCCGGATAATCTCCACATGTCTACTTTCATAATGTTCTAATCATAAATCTAATGTCCAGAAGCAAAATGCTAACGTTATGCTATAAAGGAACTACAGGCGAGTCCAGCAGCACGACTGCAACGTCACACCAACTTAAGATCCATATTCAAACATACAGATTCTAAATGGAACGAGTTGAAGCGTTTGTTTGAACACTTTGCAGGAGGCAGGTACTTGCTTTCAAGCAGAACAGGGCAAACTAACTTAGAGGAGTGTTTACGTGTTCAGCGTAATGACGTACAACGACCTCGACTTCTGTAGTCCTATTCAGCCACTTGGTAACAACAAGCGACGTGCAGTCAGTGGAGGCAGGGGAGGCAGAGCCTCACCTGTCATACTCCAATGTAACGCAAAAACAACTAAAGAAAAACGAAATAGTAATAATAATAAAATGTCTCCACTGATCTTGTGTAAGTGTGATTTCTGTATGATTCTAATCGCTTTTTATAGTCAAAATCAGCAAATTTGCCGAGCTCCGCTACGGGAGCGATGACAAGTGAGGCAGGGGCGTGCTCTGCCTCTCGTAAGCCCACAGTAACTTGCTGGAGCACGGGCACTAATGTAGCGCGGCCACTTATTTTGTGAGCGCGCTCCAGCCAGTTTCTGTGGGGTGAGGTGAGGCACAGATGAGCTCTGCCTCACCTCAGAATGCGTCACCCCACAGAAACTGGCTGGAAAGCGGGCCCTAAGCGCATGCCTGTTACCATCTCACTGTAGGTCACCAATGTAATGTATGTAGATCCCTTTATTACATTTATCCTCGCCATCCATAGTCTCTAAATAACTTATTTCACGTATATATGATATTTAGGCTCGCTGGTCTCAACGGCACTGAGAAAGCACCAGGAGAGGCAGCCATAACCTCTGCCGCACTGAAGGGGGCGCACGTGAGCCCACAGGTTCTTGTTGCTACTGTTATTCTACGCAGAGACGGTAGACGTAACAACAAACTAGACTTTTGAAACTACAGGAAGATAAGGAGGACTTTTACAAAACAGTAATAGAGATTGTTGTCCAGAAGGATAGCATGGACTTCATCTTCAAGTCAAGGTAAGACCACATTTGTAATGAAAATGGGATCTTACTAAGAGAGAACAATCCAATATTTAGATTGTGGGTATCCTTTTGTTGAACGGTCTGTTTAAAATGAATCGAAGCATCAGACTAAAAAAGCTTTTGAAAATAACAGAATATTTCGATTAAGGTCAATATATAATATTTGTAAATCTGACTCAGTGCCTCACCAGCCATGAACCTCACCGCACGTCACTGGTAACAACCATCGTTTTTCAGACACGTCAACTCTTCAGAAATCACCAGTGGGGTCACTGCTGATGGATTTAATGTCCTAGAACAAAACGTGATCCGTCTCTTCAATGCGTCTCATCCACAGACCTTATTTACAGCTATCTTCCTAAATCCTATGGAGAGATCCCATTGGCTTTGAGACGAGGGAACAGGAAGTGGTGAAATGTTGACTCACTTCCTGGTTTTAGGACTCGTTCCTGCACGAAATACTCTGTTACAGTAAAAGTCCTGCATTCAAAATGTTCCTCAAGTGAAAGTAGAAAAGTATTCTCATCAAAATATAGTGAAAGTAGCGACAGTAAAAGTAGTCATTGTGCAGATTGGTCCATTTCAGAATAATATATATGATATGTTTTATAATGATTGATCATGAAAGTGTTCTCAAAGCTGGTAAAGGTGCAGCTAGTTTGAATGACTTTGTATACTGCAGGGTAGCTTGTGGATTTACTCCAGGTGGAACTAAAGTCTGATTTAACACTTGATTATATTTCACATCATTCATCCACATCTGTGAAGTAACTAAAGGTATTACATACATGTAGTGGAGTAGAAGTACACCATGTACCTCTGAACTGTAGTGGAGAAGAAGAACACAGTAGCATAAACACAGAATATAAGGGAAGACAGACCTAAATACACATGAGACTAATCACACAGCTGGGGGGGGGGGGGGGGGGAACAGGTGAACACAACGAGACAACCAGGCACAGGAAGTAAAACCAGACAAGACGGAAAATACCTTTCAAAATCAAACTGGAAACTTTAAACACAAACCCAGAATCAGAACAGTTAGCTGGTGACATTACCACAAACATTTATTAACTTATTAAGTTATTAGGTCTTATATCAACTTTAAAGACATATTCTGACTCGATATCAGACAGATATGCCAGGTCTGACCGTGTGTGTGTGTGTGTGTGTGTGTGTGTGTGTGTGTGTGTGTGTGTGTGTGTGTGTGTGTGTGTGTGTGTGTGTGTGTTGTGTGTGTGTGTGTGTGTGTGTGTGTGTGTGTGTGTGTGTGTGTGTGTGTGTGTGTGTGTGTGTGTGTGTGTGTGTGTGTGTGTGTGTGTGTGTGTGTGTGTGTGTGTGTGTCCTCAGCGGTGTGTCTGGTGTGTGTCCGGATGGTGAGTCCTGCAGCCGGTCAGGGGGTCGTCCGGGTCGTCCTCTACATCTCTGAGGTCAGTCGGAGGTCACAGGGTCAAAGTGGAAAACAGCACTCTGTAGACCTGGAAACATTTATCTGTGTGTCTTTTGGGGCTCATTGTGTGTCTTTTGGGGCTCATTGTGTGTCTTTATTGGTGTTGTGTCTCTTTTGGGGGACATCCTCAATGACCTCCAAAATTGTCCAAATCAGCCGAGCCATTTCTTTTAGCATATGATAATGAAGCTAATTATGTAAATGTCCCAACATCTGCAGCTTAGCATCCGGCAGTTTCTATGTGCTGGAGACCCTACTCTACATTTCTATCATATAACTTTGGGGTCCTCAACATATGTTCAAAGTTCTGGCATCTAGACTCATATTAGGCATTTCTTTGTGGACTTCTTGTGTCTCTTTGTGTGAAATGTGTCCTCCGTCCTCAGGCCTTCAGCTCGCCCTCTCAGGGTTTCCTCAACTGTCTTCTGTACGGCTGGACTCAAGCTCGTCTGCGCCGCGGGGGGACGAGCGTCTTCTGTCGAGACGTGGACACCCAGACGCCTCTGCTGAGATCTCAGAAGAAGAGAAGCTACCAGACCCTGAGAGACCTCTGAGGCAGGAAGTGAGAGTGGAGAGGATGGTTTCTCTGAGAGGGAAAGCCCGCGGCTCGCAGCGACACCACGCTCCCTCTCATCCTGAAACACTGAGGCGAGGCAAAGAGGAAGAGGGAGACGCTGGGGGGGAAACACCCACGCAGAAAACAGGATCTGAAAAAGACCTCACAGGTGCTTCAAACTGTCACCGGACCGCTGTTTCAGACCCTCTGACACACAAGGCCACTTTATTTATAGAGCACCTTTCAACACGAGGCATTCAAAGGGCTTTAGAAAAGTGAAAGACAAATGCATCATTCATCTCTTCTCTTTTCTGAGATGAATGTATGTGTATGCATGGTCCTTGTTGAAATACATACATATAAAGACATTAAGAGCATAAAACCATTAAATCGTGAATACATGAAAGGTACAGTGCAGTGTGAGATGTGAGATGTGAATAGTTCAGTTAAAAGCAAAAAGCAAAGTCTTCAGCCTGGATTTCAAAGCAGTCGGAGTCTCAGCCGAACGGCAGGTTTCTGAGAGTTTGTTCCAGAGATTTGGAAATATCTCAAATCAGATTCTCCCATTCCTCTAGCCCTAGTCTTCCTGTGAAATTAGAGTTATTTTGACGCTTTTCTAACCTTTTTAGAGAGAGATCAAAACAAAGCGGTAACTCTGCAGTCTGTAAACAGGGCAACACAAACAGAGAATATTCTATTCAAAGATTCAAAGGTTTTATTGTCATATGAACATAAGCTCCAGTTTAGAAATGGCAATGAAACTCTTCTGACCTGAGCTCCTCCAAACAACGCAACATGTATAATCAAAAACAAAGTCCATGTACATGTCAATATGTGGAGTTAGTAATAGTTTTAGTAAACAAACACAAGGCAGCTTTACGTCCACGGCACATTTCAACAACAAGAGCTCTTTCAAAAAGCTCCAACATAGAAAGCAGAAGTCAGTCTGTTGGAGGAGAAACAGGCTCGTGTGTTTCCCGAGAGACGGACTCATCGTTTTTTACATTTTGCAAATAAAAAATATCTGAAAAATCTTGAGTTTGTTTTGAGCGTTTTTCACGGTCACAGTGTGCAGGAGTGACGTCCCCCCCCTCGTCCTCGTCCTCGCTCTGCGTTCCTGCTGACCCACCGAGCAGAAACTGTGACGCACGGGCTGACCTCGCTCATTATGGGATGCAAAGAGGGGACACCAGCCCCCACCCCCCCCCCGCCTGCTGTGGCGCTTCGCCAGAATCAGCAGGAGAACAATGCACTTCCTCTTTAATAGAATACTACAACAATGCACCGTTCTTTTAGAATTAAATTAAATAAATTATAATAAAATGGGTAGGGTGGGGGAGATGGGGATTTTTGTTTCCTTTAAAAACGGTTCTGTATTTTGTTTAATGTGCTGAAAGAAGTGCCATGTCTGCAAAAAAATATCTATTTAAATAGATAAATAAAATTAAAAAAGCAAGTAAAGCTAAATTACATTAAATATAATTGAATAAAATACAATTTAAATACTGCAGTTCATAATGTTGCTGCACATAAATCTAGTGCGTTTGATTTCATAAGGGATTTGCTTCGTTTTAAAATACAAATAAATACAATTTAAATAAATGAAATCTTCCACCTGCTGTGGGGGTTTCCTCAGAATCTGCAGGAGAGCAATTCATTTCCTCTTTACTCAGACCTCGACTCATCTGAAATACTGGACGTCATAATGTCCCTGCAGGGCCAAACTGAAACCAGTGGAGTCAAGTTTTTACCATAGACTGTATGTATAAATGGACGTAGGGTCCGTGACGTCACCCATAGGTTTCTGCATAGTTGCTGAGAAGCCACAGTGACGTCAGAGTCTAACTCCCGCCTGCTCCAAATAAGGGCAAAGAGGCGGAGCCGAGGCGGGATAAGATAAGTCCGATATTTAAGTGAAGAATACTCCACCAGGCACCAACACAACAAACACTTCCGAGTTCAAGTTGTGTTCCCCGGATCAGCCTCGCAGCCGAGCCCCTGTAGCACCCTGGAGCTAACAGAGCTAACGGAGCTAGCAGAGGGACAGAAAGCTAGAAGCAGCAGTCCATCAAAGTGACCACGCCCTAATGTATGCAACAACTTTAAGACCTAATATAACTAAAAGGGGTGCGTTATAAAACAATTCACTCCCCAATCCATAATCATGAAGGTGGAATCTAACTATATCCAGAATAAGTTTTATTGCATCCAGGGGTAGAAACGTGTTTATTTCTGCTGTAAAGTTGGGCATGTTAACATGGGGGTCTATGGAAACTGCTCCTTTCTGCAGCCTGCTCCTACTGGCCAATAGATGAACTGCAGTTTGTGGCACTTCCTTATGGGCTTCCTGGCTACAAAACCTTAGCTATTAAATATAAAACAGAAAAGATGCACTGGTAAACAAAGTGACCGAAAGATTTGCCATAAAGATGATTCACTTTTCTCAGTATATGTATTTCTCTGAAAGCTGCTTCCTTCTTTATTTGTGTTGCATTTGATAATCCTGATCACTGAGGCTTTGTGGAGAAACGGTTGGACTGTGAAGTGCATAAAGGATTATTTCTGAAACAAACTGATCTGTGCTTGTTATTACATATTACAGATTATATCGTTTGAAGTGTGAATGTGTTTGTGGGAAAGTCTATCAGAAGACAAGCAGAACAACTTCAGAGAGACAACATGAGCTGAGAGCAGAGAGACACCACACGGCTGCAAAGTAAAACCAAAGAGAAATGAAATGTTTACAGAAAATACATTTCATCAGAGAGGAACTGTCTTTCATTTGTCTCTATGTGGGTTATTTAAAGGTCACCTATTATGCTAAATCTATTTCCTCATGTCTCTTCTTCATCAACATGTGTCCCCTCTTCTTCATGTCTCTTCTACATCAACATGTGTCCCCTCTTCTTCATGTCTCTTCTACATCAACATGTGTCCCCTCTTCTTCATGTCTCTTCTACATCAACATGTGTCCCCTCTTCTTCATGTCTCTTCTACATCAACATGTGTCCCCTCTTCTTCATGTCTCTTCTACATCAACATGTGTCCCCTCTTCTTCATGTCTCTTCTTCATCAACATGTGTCCCCTCTTCTTCATGTCTCTTCTACATCAACATGTGTCCCCTCTTCTTCATGTCTCTTCTACATCAACATGTGTCCCCTCTTCTTCATGTCTCTTCTACATCAACATGTGTCCCCTCTTCTTCATGTCTCTTCTACATCAACATGTGTCCCTCTTCTTCATGTCTCTTCTACATCAACATGTGTCCCCTCTTCTTCATGTCTCTTCTACATCAACATGTGTCCCCTCTTCTTCATGTCTCTTCTACATCAACATGTCCCCTCTTCTTCATGTCTCTTCTACATCAGCATGTGTCCCCTCTTCTCATGTCTCTTCTACATCAACATGTGTCCCCTCTTCTTCATGTCTCTTCTACATCAACATGTGTCCCCTCTTCTTCATGTCTCTTCTACATCAACATGTGTCCCCTCTTCTTCATGTCTCTTCTACATCAACATGTGTCCCCTCTCTTCATGTCTCTTCTACATCAACATGTGTCCCCTCTTCTTCATGTCTCTTCTACATCAACATGTGTCCCCTCTTCTTCATGTCTCTTCTACATCAACATGTGTCCCCTCTTCTTCATGTCTCTTCTACATCAACATGTGTCCCCTCTTCTTCATGTCTCTTCTACATCAACATGTGTCCCCTCTTCTTCATGTCTCTTCTACATCAACATGTGTCCCCTCTTCTTCATGTCTCTTCTACATCAACATGTGTCCCCTCTTCTTCATGTCTCTTCTACATCAACATGTGTCCCCTCTTCTTCATGTCTCTTCTACATCAACATGTGTCCCTCTTCTTCATGTCTCTTCTTCATCAACATGTGTCCCCTCTTCTTCATGTCTCTTCTACATCAACATGTGTCCCCTCTTCTTCATGTCTCTTCTACATCAACATGTGTCCCCTCTCTTCATGTCTCTTCTACATCAACATGTGTCCCCTCTTCTTCATGTCTCTTCTACATCAACATGTGTCCCCTCTTCTTCATGTCTCTTTACATCAACATGTGTCCCTCTTCTTCATGTCTCTTCTACATCAACATGTGTCCCCTCTTCTTCATGTCTCTCTTCTACATCAACATGTGTCCCCTCTTCTTCATGTCTCTTCTACATCAACATGTGTCCCCTCTTCTTCATGTCTCTTCTCATCAACATGTGTCCCCTCTTCTTCATGTCTCTTCTACATCAACATGTGTCCCCTCTTCTTCATGTCTCTTCTCATCAACATGTGTCCCCTCTTCTTCATGTCTCTTCTACATCAACATGTGTCCCCTCTTCTTCATGTCTCTTCTACATCAACATGTGTCCCCTCTTCTTCATGTCTCTTCTACATCAACATGTGTCCCCTCTTCTTCATGTCTCTTCATCAACATGTGTCCCCTCTTCTTCATGTCTCTTCTACATCAACATGTGTCCCCTCTTCTTCATGTCTCTTCTTCATCAACATGTGTCCCCTCTTCTTCATGTCTCTTCTACATCAACATGTGTCCCCTCTTCTTCATGTCTCTTCATCAACATGTGTCCCCTCTTCTTCATGTCTCTTCTCATCAACATGTGTCCCCTCTTCTTCATGTCTCTTCTTCATCAACATGTGTCCCCTCTTCTTCATGTCTCTTCTACATCAACATGTGTCCCCTCTTCTTCATGTCTCTTACATCAACATGTGTCCCCTCTTCTTCATGTCTCTTCTTCCATAACATGTGTCCCCTCTTCTTCATGTCTCTTCTTCATCACCATGTGTCCCCTCTTCTTCATGTCTCTTCTACATCAACATGTGTCCCCTCTTCTTCATGTCTCTTCTACATCAACATGTGTCCCCTCTTCTTCATGTCTCTTCTTCATCACCATGTGTCCCCTCTTCTTCATGTCTCTTCTTCATCAACATGTGTCCCCTCTTCTCCATGTCTCTTCTTCAACAACATGTGTCCCCTCTTCTTCATGTCTCTTCTTCATCAACATGTGTCCCCTCTTCTTCATGTCTCTTCTTCATCAACATGTGTCCCCTCTTCTTCATGTCTCTTCTTCATCAACATGTGTCCCCTCTTCTTCATGTCTCTTCTTCATCAACATGTGTCCCCTCTTCTTCATGTCTCTTCTTCATCAACATGTGTCCCCTCTTCTTCATGTCTCTTCTTCATCAACATGTGTCCCCTCTGTGTAAAGAGACTCTGAAAGTTTCAGGAACAAAGATTCTCTCTCTTTTTGATCCATTTCTATAAAAACCTGTCTGAAAATGAGCTGATCAGATTTTGGCCACTTGATGATGTCATAACGATGTGTTGTCTTGTGTAACCATTAGCCAATCAGCAACCAAGGTAACCCCCCCCCCACCTTATCACCTGAATCTCCTCCTAGAGCACCATTGAGTTCTTTGTAACCAAATCTCCCTCAGAGGGGTGTGGGGAGGGGCTCCTTATTTTCATCTAAAGTAACAGACAGCGAATCAGCACTTTGGAAACAGGGCTGAAACAGAGGGGATTATGGGTAATGCTGCAATGATCTGTTTGGTGTTTCAGCCAATCATGCGGCTTTCACACCAGCGCTTTTCCCTTTCTAGCTCCTAGCTAGAGCTTTTCTGGTTCAGCTCCGGTTTCCCTTTTCTGCTCCTGCTCTGTTCACACCGCCCAGCTGCCGCTGCTGCGTCATGACGTCACCGTTTACATCGCTGATTTGCTCCCCAACGGCGCTCACAACAACAACAACAACAACGGGGGACTGCGTCGGGTCGATGATCGTGTTGCTTTTAATCATACGAAGCCAGATTAAATTAAATAACGACTTCTCCAACCTTATACTTTTCTCCAGAGTGCCGTGGTTCTCTGAGACCTATAATATATTGATGAAGGAGAGTTTATTAGGGGACCTTTCAGTCACAAAGCTCTGGTGAATTATGTAACGTGTTTACGTAATAAACAGAAACCTCTCAGTGTGATATAATGATCCTCTGCTCCTGAACATCACACACTCATCACACACTCATCACACCCCTCACACACTCCTCACACACTCAACACACACTCATCACACTCATCACACACTCCTCACACACTCATCACACCACGCAACCAAGCCGCCAAACACGCTTTAACACACACGCAGCACAAGCAGCACACACGAAGCCACACACGGCCAACCACACGCACACACGCAGCAACAACACAGCACACGCACACACGCAGCACACGCAGCACACAGCAGCACACGCCACGCAGCACACACGCAGCACACACGCAACCCACACACGCACACACGCAGCACACACAAGCACAACTCAAGACACACGCAAAACACACTCAACACACACTCACACACTCATCACACACTCAACACACACGAACACACGGCAGCACACACACACACACTCAATACACACTCACACACTCATCACACTCATCACACTCACACACTCATCACACTCATCACACACTCATCACACTCTCACACTCATCACACACTCATCACACACTCAACACACACTCACACACTCATCACACACTCATCACACACTCAATACACACTCACACACTCATCACTCATCACACACTCATCACACACTCAACACACACTCATCACACTCATCACACTCATCACACACTCATCACACACTCGACGTCTCTGCAGGACAGACTGTCTGTTGTTTCCCGCAGAGATCAGGAACACGTCACTGCACAGATTACAAAGAAATGCAGTTTCAAAGAGTCTCAAAAACTTGTTCGAATATTCTATTTCATCTTCCTAATGCACATTACTTTAATTTCTAAGTATATTTGTTTAAATGAATATTTGTACTTTTATTTTCTCTTTTTAATGCACAATTATATTTGTATTTCTTATGTTTAAACACATTTTTGATTTTATTGGATCTTTTAATGCACATTTTTCTTTTATCTTTTCAATTGGCATTATTATTTTTATTTCATATGTTTGTATGAATATGAAACCCACATGTTCTTGGGATAGAGTATTCTGAAGTGCCTCTATTCATCTCCAGTTTCTTCTAGATCATAAAGTCTTTGCAGCAGCACTCTGAAATCTAGCAGTACACGTCGCCCCCTGGTGGAAAAACAATCACATGAGAACCTTTTGGAGTCTCCCTTTAATTATCCGTTCATCAGAGGCGTGTTTATTAAAGTGTGTATCAGCAACTTGAAAGAGCTTTACACCAAACACTAAAAGCATCGCCACAAAAGACCCGTTCATTTAAAACACTCGTTAAAGAGCCGAGAGCAAAGCAGAAATGAGAACAAGGTGGGTGTGAAATAAAATAATGGAAGTCAAGGGCAGGGTGACAAATTATGGATCTCTTTATTACTGTCCCATCATCCTCCGAGATGCCAGGTGACAGTTATCGAAGAAGAGGCTGTAGTCGGTGCCGCCAACCGCCACGAAGTCAGCGACTTTCTTCGTCCCCCGGAAATCCAGCGTCCGAACGACCTGGAAAAACAGGCAAATACTTTAAAGAGGCCATATTGTGTTCCCGTCCTGTATTCAATCAATCAATCAATCAATCAATCAATCAATCAGTCAGTCAATCAATCAATGTTTATTGATATAGCCCAATATCACAAATGTTACATCTGTCTCAGTAAAGGTCACCTATCATGCTATGTTTAGGCAATAGCATAGGTCTCAGATATATAAAAATATATAAAAAACATGTCTATGAAGTGTTTTGCTGAAAATACCAAACAGATCATTCTAGCCATGCCTCATATCCCTCTATTTCACTTCCTGTTTCAAAAGTGCTGATTTTGGGTATAAAGCTTTAAAAAAATAAATGATAAAAAAGAGGGGCGGAGCTTATGCCTGCTCATGCGGGAGATTCTACCGGCAGATACTGCCGTGATGAAACGCCATATCATGGATTATCAAGGATTGTTTCTGAAACAGTATGGAGCTCAAAGGCTTTCTCTCTTGCCGGTTATACCACAAGGTGAGTTCCTTTTTATTTCCTGCTTCTTCACACACATGCTCTCCAGTACAGGTTAGCTCTGAGTGTTAGCGATACTAATGTAAACATAGACCATATTACGTCCAAAACAGTCGGGCATTGTTTCTGATAGCAACGTTTCTGATAGGGCCGTGGGTCCACATTTCAGATATTACGTCATATCGGACGCAAATCTGGATCAGGTCCGTTGTTCCCCCGTTTTTAGAGATTTGGGTACGGAGGAAAAGAGAGAGGGTTTTATTTTCTGACGCTGCGTGAGTTCCCTGACACACCGGGGACACGTAGTTATGTATAAATACATCAAAAAGTGAATTTTGCATGATAGGTCCCCTTTAAAGTTTGTACAGAATATCAATACGACAATACGCAGAGGTGGGAAATAGTGGAGTACAAATACTTTGTTACTGTACTTAAGTACATGCTTCTGGTATCAGTACTTTACTCCACGACTTATTTTTCTGACGACTTTTTACTTTGACTTCTTACATGTTGAACACAAATACCTGTACTTTCTACTTCTTACATTTTGAACCCAAATACCTGTACTTTCTACTTCTTACATGTTGAACACAAATACCTGTACTTTCTACTTCTTACATGTTGAACACAAATACCTGTACTTTCTACTTCTTACATGTTGAACCCAAATACCTGTACTTTCTACTTCTTACATGTTGAACACAAATACCTGTACTTTCTACTTCTTACATGTTGAACCCAAATACCTGTACTTTCTACTTCTTACATTTTGAACACAAATACCTGTACTTCTACTTCTTACATGTTGAACACAAATACCTGTACTTTCTACTTCTTACATGTTGAACACAAATACCTGTACTTTCTACTTCTTACATGTTGAACACAAATACCTGTACTTTCTACTTCTTACATGTTGAACACAAATACCTGTACTTTCTACTTCTTACATGTTGAACACAAATACCTGTACTTTCTACTTCTTACATGTTGAACACAAATACCTGTACTTTCTACTTCTTACATGTTGAACCCAAATACCTGTACTTTCTACTTCTTACATGTTGAACACAAATACCTGTACTTTCTACTTCTTACATGTTGAACCCAAATACCTGAACTTTCTACTTCTTACATGTTGAACACAAATACCTGTACTTTGTACTTCTTACACTTTGAACACAAATACCTGTACTTTGTACTTCTTACATGTTGAACCCAAATACCTGTACTTTCTACTTCTTACATGTTGAACACAAATACCTGTACTTTCTACATCTTACATGTTGAACACAAATACCTGTACTTTCTACTTCTTACATGTTGAACACAAATACCTGTACTTTCTACTTCTTACATGTTGAACACAAATACCTGTACTTTCTACTTCTTACATGTTGAACCCAAATACCTGTACTTTCTACTTCTTACATTTTGAACACAAATACCTGTACTTTCTACTTCTTACATGTTGAACACAAATACCTGTACTTTCTACTTCTTACACTTTGAACACAAATACCTGTACTTTCTACTTCTTACATGTTGAACCCAAATACCTGTACTTTCTACTTCTTACATGTTGAACCCAAATACCTGTACTTTCTACTTCTTACATGTTGAACCCAAATACCTGTACTTTCTACTTCTCACATGTTGAACCCAAATACCTGTACTTTCTACTTCTTACATGTTGAACTCAAATACCTGTACTTTCTACTTCTTACATTTTGAACACAAATACCTGTACTTTCTACTTCTCACATTTCCCAAACAGGCTGGTTCCTTTAGTTTGAATGTGTGTTTGGTGGCGTGATCATTATTATTTAGAGTCATTGCGTGCCTATTGATTTGAACACGATCCGTGTATCCATCATTTCCTGGTCTTCTCTAAAGAAGAGGGACCAATGAAAACGTTGTCATGTTGCCGTTGTTCAGCATGGAAACATTCATTAGCTAACAATGACATTATTGTTCTATTAATATAAAGGGAGGTCAGGTACTCTTTAAAACAGCTGCTAGTTATGGGTACTTTTTACTGAAGTACATTTCAAAGCCCTCTTTACTTTGACTTGAGTAAAGAAGTTTAGTCAGTACTTCTACTTTTACCAGAGTATTTTTAAACACGAGTATCTATACTTTTACTTGAGTAAAGGATCTGTGTACTTTTGCCCTCTCTGACAGTACGACCCCCTCTGTCCTCTGACCCTCACATCGAACAAGGAAACACTCCAGAAACCTGGAGGAGCAACAGAGGAGGATCCCTCTCCAGGAGGACAGACGTGAAATAGATGCCGTGTGTAAATTGAAAAGATAATACAAATACTATAGGTGTTAGTGCATGTAAATGGTCTGCAAAGGCTAAAATGTACCTGCCAGGCGGGGCTCATGTGCCGGGCGGCGACCACCACGGTGTTGGAGGAGACGCCGTAGTTTCCTCCCTTATGGACGAGCCACTGGGAGCCATCCGCCAGCGTCACTCTGAGACACACAGGAGAGACCATTATTATACATTCATGTTAATTATTCATCACGCAGCGCGGCAAGCTCAGCCAGCAAGAGAAAAATAATTAAGATTCATTAAATGTAATTAAATTAAAATAGAAAAAGTCATAAATGAACCCTAACACTTATGTTAAGTTCAGTTCATTATAAATGAAATAAAGTTAAGTAATAAATAAAATAAATAAAATAAATAAAATAAATAAAATAAATAAAATAAATAAAATAAAATAAATAAAATAAATAAAATAAATAAAATAAAATAAAAATTAAATTAAATAAAATTAAATAAAATTAAATAAAATTAAATAAAGAAATTAAATAAAGAAATTAAAGAAATCAAAGAAATTAAAGAACATAAATTAAAGTACGTTTAAATGAAAAAGAAATACTGAAAACAGGGGGGGGGGGTTATCATCACCATATCATAAAAGGTTCAAATGTGTTGTTGTTGCTCATTTAACATGTATTTTAAAATGTCACTCTGCTAATAATCTCCATCTCTAGCTCGACTCGTTAGGAGTGGATTCCCTTGGATTAAATAACCAGTCTGCTGTCTGTAATGAGGGGTGTGAAGAAGGGGTTCTGACCTGACTCCAGAGTGGCTGAGGGGCCCGATCCGCACAGACTGTCCGTCCAGGGGCCTCTTCAGACGCTCCGCCATGAACACCGGGGAGTTGTAGATGCGCCGGAGCTCTGACCCCGAGAGGTCGTAGCTGTGGGAGGTCGTGCCGCCTGAAACACATCAGCGTTCATCTTTAAAACAAAGCTCGTTCTTTAGAGTTTCAAGTTTCAAGGCGTTTATTGTCATGTGTACATATAGCTACAGTGCAGATATGAGATGGCAAATCCGAGTCCTTGTACGGTCTGCTGAGTCAGTCATTGAAGAGATCCGGATCATACGAGTCCTTCGAGTCATGAGTCATGTAGATCTAATCATATGCCCACCCCCCCTCTTTTCTCATGGACTGCTTAATCATTGCAGTACTGGTGTTTGTATGTGTTATATTTGTGTAAAGTGGTGTCTTTTGCTTTAATAAAAAAATGTTGATCACAAACAAAAAGGGTTATTTTGCGATTTTGCGAATCTGAGTCTGCTGTTGACTCGTGCATGACGACGAGTCTGGATCTCAGGATCTCTGGATCTGCTGCTATACGGTTACGGCTCTGAGTCCGCACGAGTCTGCTGTGTTTTGCACAGTGAGTCAGGATTTGCGAATCTGAGTCTGCTGTTGACTCGTGCACATAGCCGCGGGAAGTAGCTGCAACACCCCCTGTTGGCGAATGGTGTACATTTGAAAAACTTCATGTTACTGTTGAAATCTCTCCCCACTTTGGCCGCACCCCCTAAGTAAAATGACTTCCCGCGGATATGCTCGTGCATGACGAGTCTGGATCTCTGGATCTGCTATACGGTTACGGCTCTGAGTCCCCACGAGTCTGCAGGAAGTGAAGGAAGTTCCCTTGATTCAGTGAGTCAGGATTTGCGAATCTGAGTCTCCTGTTGACTCGTGCATGATGAGTCTGCCTGGATCTCTGGATCTCTGGATCTCTGGATCTCTGGATCTCTGGATCTCTGGATCTCTAGATCTGCTACGGTTACGGCTCTGAGTCTGCACGAGTCTGCAGGAAGTTTCACTGATCCGCGTCCCCTGAGCCAAACGATCACTTCTGGCAGCTATCCTACTTGCTAAAGCCTAGGCAGATGGACTGGGGTACGTTGTCATGTGATTTTACATGTTATAATGAGATCAGTGAGTGACGCAATTTATAGTTTTAATGTGTACGTCACCAGGTGTAGGACTCAAAGGACTCGGGTTAATGGAGAGGGGAGACTCGTCACGACCAGCTCATTACTAGGATCCGGGTTAATGATCCGGATGAATCAGGACTCACCCATCTCTAGTATAGATATGACAATGAAGATCTGAGGTCACAGGCTCCTCCAACAGAGCAACACAATAACACAGATACAATAGTGCAAGTCAAATACAAGTAAAATAGAGACACCTTTATCCAGGTAGAAGTACTCAGATCTTGTTCTTGAGTAAAAGTAGAAGTACTCAGATCTGGTACTAGAGTAAAAGTAGAAGTACTCAGGTCTGGTACTAGAGTAAAAGTAGAAGTACTCAGATCTTGTACTTGATTCAAAGTAGAACTACTCAGATGGCATGTACTCAGATTTCAGATCTGGTAGTAGAGTAACAGTAGAAGTACTCAGATCTCTAGAGTAACAGTAGAAGTACTCAGATCTCTAGAGTAACAGTAGAAGTACTCAGATCTCTAGAGTAACAGTAGAAGTACTCAGATCTCTAGAGTAACAGTAGAAGTAATCCGATTTTGTAGTAACAGTATAAGTACTCAGATATTGTAGTAACAGTAGAAGTACTCAGATCTCTAGAGTAACAGTAGAAGTACTCAGATCTCTAGAGTAACAGTAGAAGTACTCAGATCTCTAGAGTAACAGTAGAAGTACTCAGATCTCTAGAGTAACAGTAGAAGTACTCAGATCTCTAGAGTAACAGTAGAAGTAATCCGATCTTGTAGGTAACAGTAGTAAGTACTCAGATATTGTAGTAACAGTAGAAGTACTCAGATCTCTAGAGTAACAGTAGAAGTACTCAGATCTTCTAGTAACAGTAGAAGTACTCAGATCTTCTAGTAACAGTAGAAGTACTCAGATCTTGTAGTGACAGTAGAAGTACTCAGATCTTGTAGTAACAGTATAAGTACTCAGATCTTGTAGTAACAGTAGACCTCACCCCCTCCAGAGGAAGCCTCCACAGAAAGCCCCAGCAGCAGCAGCAGAGCGCAGAGGAGCGTGATGCAGGAAGACATGTTGGATTATAATCTCAGGACACATTCAGGAGGTTATATACCCTCCTGCCTCTCCTCCTCCCTCTCCTCCTGCCTCTCCTCCTCCCTCTCCTCCTGCCTCTCCTCCTCCCTCTCCCCCTGCCTCTCCTCCTGCCTCTCCTCCTGCCTCTCCTCCTGTCGGCTCTGATCACGCTTTCTGGAAAGTCCCGCTGATATTCCTCCAACATCAACATTTGACTTGGATGGAGGCGAGTTATTTCCAAACTGCTGACAGTAAAAACCAGGATTTCACCACTCTTCTTGGAGAGGATTCTGTACATGCAGGTTTAGTGCAAAGTGAAGGACATACACCGATCAGTTCTAACATTATGACCACCTGCTTAATATCGTGTACGTCTCTCTTTTCCAAAACAGCACTGACCCATGGAGGCAAGGACTCCATTACCTCTGAGTGTCTGTGTTATCAGGCAACAAGACGTTAGCTGCAGATCCTTAAAAGGTCTCCTATTATGCAAAATGCACTTTTTTATGTCTTTTCTACATCAACATGTGTCCCCGGTGTGTCCCCGGTGTGTCCCCGGTGTGTCCCCGGTGTGTCAGGAGACTCACAAAGTGTCAGGAAATAAAACCCCCTCTCTTTTCCTCCGTACCCACATCTCTAAAAACGGGGGAACAACGGAGCTGATCCAGATCCAGGGCTGAAATAGAGGGGGATGAGGCATGGCTAGAATGCATGATCTGTTTGGTATTTTGAGCAAAACACTTCATAGACATGTTTTTTTATATATTTGTATATATCTGAGACCTATGCTATATGCGTGTAGAGGTGTGTGTAGAGGTGTGTAGAGGTGTGTGAACAGGTGTGTGTGTGGTTAACTGTAGCAGCCTGAGCTCGCTCTTTAGCAGATCTAAGGAAAGTAAACATTAAGGCGGTGTGCAAAAGGCTCTGCTGCCCTGACTTTGAAATATAACTCAATGTATTTCCTGTCATTTCCACACTTTAACAGAACAGTCTGCAATTAAATGGTGGCCCACTTCCTCCTTTGGGCACTGGTAACTTTAATGAGAACTAACCCGTTGGCCCAACAATGTCCCTTCAGGGCCTCCGTAGTATATCAGTCACTCTCGCCCTGTTTCCTTCAATTCTTGGAGAGAACGTACATGCCTCTAAAGTGAATGGATAACCAAAAATAACAGCAACACTCTCGATTCATTTTTATAATTACAACTGCTTTTTGTAGTGTTATCTTGTCCTTCAGAAGTACACACATAATCCTTATGCTGACGACATGCAACTTTATGTAAGTCATTTTTAATAGTTTGCACTAAATGGATGAATTGATGTAAAGTTTTTAAGACACATTTACATTTCTGGCGGTGAGTTCTGCTGCGGCCTCGGCTTGTTGACTGACTGCGGCTCAAAGATCATGTTGACGTGGATTTCATAATACTAGAAATCCCCTGAATCGACCAGATGTTGATCCTGAGAGCAGCTCAACTTCACACGTGATTTAAAATGTCCATCCGTTTGTTTGTTGTCTGTCTGGGGATTTGTTCCTCAGGTCATTAAACAGGAATCATTGTTATAGTGGCCTTGAAGCTGAAACTACAATAAATGCTGTTTTAGTGTTTAAATATTATATTATTTTCTGAAATGTCATGTTTTCTCTTTTGCCTTAAAAACATTTTGTGTGTGTTTTTGAAATGTTGATGTGTTTTCACCTTCATAAACGTCTGTCTTCTGTTTCATTGTTTATTACAAACCAACTTATCAATCAGACTCACTTTGATGGAGTAAAATACAAAGCCTTTCAATGTATCATTGTTTTTAATCCTATATATAAAATACTATATGCATTTCCATATATGATAAATATAAAAATAGAAACAGGAGCAGTCAGTCCCAGCTGCCACCTGATTGGTCGAACAATGCTGTGGCATCAGGAGAACAGGAAGGGGTCTTCAGGAGAACAGGAAGTGGTCTTTAGGGGAACAGGAAGTGGTCTTCAGGAGAACAGGAAGGGGTCTTCAGGAGAACAGGAAGTGGTCTTCAGGGGAACAGGAAGTGGTCCTGCTGGAAGGTGCTGGAGCTGCTGGCGCTGACGCCGCCCGGCAGGTAGGAGAGATGGAGGATCGGCAGCTGAACGGAGAGACGCCGCTGCACACTGACAGGAGACACCACACAACTGTTAAAACTACAAATCACACTAAAATACTAAACATCTGCAAAGGATATGTGTCTAACATCCATTCAGAATAGAATGGTGCAGGGATGACCTATTTTTGCAGGCCGACCCGGAGGTAAGCTGTAAGCACACTGTAGTTTATCGTATCATTTCATGTATTTATTGTCATGCGTTTTTTAGGTTCATTTGTATATTTAAATTTAAATCGTAAATAGTTGTTTTCCAGTTTGCAACCTCAAAGCGTATTTCCTTGAATGTGTAACACGTACCCTGGCATAACCTTTATCCTGAAAATAAAATGACTTATATTGATTGTATGTTATTGTAGACTGAGTGTTTCCTCCATCACCAGGCTATGAAGTGAATGTTCTTTGCACTCACTGTTCTGGGGAGTTGATGCTGTCGGGACTCGAGGGTTTCCCCCCCGAGTTTCTGTCCTCTGAGCACACCTGAGCTGCATGAGTCCAGCGAACACACCTGGCTCGACCTGCCGGAGGAACACACCGAGGAGAACTGTCATTATCACTGGAGAGAACAGTTTCCATCAGGAAGGAACACTGGAGAACTGTCATTATCACAGGAGAGAACAGTTTCCATCAGGAAGGAACACTAGAGAACTGTCATTATCACAGGAGAGAACAGTTTCCATCAGGAAGGAACACTAGAGAACTGCCATTATCACAGGAGAGAACAGTTTCCATCAGGAAGGAACACTAGAGAACTGTCATTATCACAGGAGAGAACAGTTTCCATCAGGAAGGAACACTAGAGAACTGCCATTATCACTGGAGAGAACAGTTTCCATCAGGAAGGAACACTGGAGAACTGTCATTATCACAGGAGAGAACAGTTTCCATCAGGAAGGAACACTGGAGAACTGTCATTATCACTGGAGAGAACAGTTTCCATCATGAAGGAACACTAGAGAACTGTCATTATCTCAGGAGAGAACAGTTTCCATCAGGAAGGAACACTGGAGACTGTCTTATCACTGGAGAGGACAGTTTCCATCAGGAAGACACTGGAGACTGTCAAATATCACTGGAGAGAACAGTTTCCATCATGAAGGAACCTGGAAACTGTCATTTATCACAGGAGAGAACAGTTTCCATCATGAAGGAACACTGGAGAACTGTCATTATCACAGGAGAGAACAGTTTCCATCATGAAGGAACACTGGAGAACTGTCAATATCACAGGAGGAGAACAGTTTCCATCATGAAGGAACCTGGAGAACTGTCAATATCACAGGAGAGAACAGTTTCCAATCATGAAGGAACACTGGAGAACTGTCTTTATCACAGGAGAGACAGTTCCATCATGAAGGAACACTGAGGAACTGTCATTATCACAGGAAGAACAGTTTTCCATCATGAAGGAACACTGGAGAACTGTCATTATCACTGGAGAGAACAGTTTCCATCAGGAAAGGAACACTGGAGAACTGTCATTATCACTGGAGAGAACAGTTTTCCATCATGAAGGAACACTGGAGAACTGCCATTATCCACAGGAGAGAACAGTTTCCATCATGAAGGAACCTGGAGAACTGTCCATTATCACAGAGAGAACAGTTTCCATCAGGAGGAACCTGGGGAACTGTCATTATCACAGGAGAGAACATTTCCATCATGAAGGAACACTGGAGAACTGTCATTAAGCACTGGAGAGAACAGTTTCCATCATGAGGAACACTGGAGAACTGTCATTATCACTGGAGAGAACAGTTTCCATCATGAAGGAACACTGGAGAACTGTCATTATCACAGGAGAGAACAGTTTTCCATCATGAAGGAACCTGGAGAACTGTCATTATCACTGGAGAGAACAGTTTCCATCATGAAGGAACACTGGAGAACTGTCATTATCACAGGAGAGAACAGTTTCCATCATGAAGGAACACTGGAACTGTCATTATCACAGGAGAGAACCGTTTCCATCATGAAGGAACACTGGAGAACTGTCATTATCACTGGAGAGAACAGTTTCCATCATGAAGGAAACTGGATATAACTCCAGGAAATATAACACTGATTGAGGGAGAACAGTTTTCCATCATGAAGGAACACTGGAGAACTGTCATTATCAGGATGAGAGAACAGTTTCCATCATGAAGGAACACTGGAGAACTGTCATTATCACTGGAGAGAACAGTTTCCATCATGAAGGAACACTGGAGAACTGTCATTATCACTGGAGAGAACAGTTTCCATCATGAAGGAACACTGGAGAACTGTCATTATCACTGGAGAGAACAGTTTCCATCAGGAAGGAACACTGGAGAACTGTCATTATCACTGGAGAGAACAGTTTCCATCTGAAGGAACACTGGAGAACTGTCATTATCACTGGAGAGAAACAGTTTCCATCATGAAGGAACACGAGAACTGTCCTTATCACTGGAGAGAACAGTTTCCATCATGAAGGAACACTAGAGAACTGTCATTATCACTGGAGAGAACAGTTTCCATCATGAAGGAACACTGGAGAACTGTCATTATCACTGGAGAGAACAGTTTCCATCATGAAGGAACACTGGAGAACTGTCATTATCATAGGAAAGAACAGTTTCCATCAGGAAGGAACACTGGAGAACTGTCATTATCACAGGAGAGAACAGTTTCCATCAGGAAGGAACACTGGAGAACTGTCATTATCACTGGAGAGAACAGTTTCCATCAGGAAGGAACACTGGAGAACTGTCATTAAGAAGAAGAAGAAGAAGAAGACACACTTTATTAATCCCTTACAGGGAAATTTCTTTCCCCACTCTGTTGTGTTTACACACATTACACACACAGGGGAGGATATACATGCACAAACACAGAGGATATACATGCACACACACAACCACATGCAGATCGGAGAACTGTCATTATCACAGGAGAGAACAGTTTCCATCATGAAGGAACACTGGAGAACTGCCATTATCACTGGAGAGAACA